GGAATACAAAAATCATACCATACAAAATTGTACCTCAATTTCCTTCTATGAAACATTAGAATTAATGTAGCTAGCAAGAGTTCACAGAAATAAGATTACAAAGTATTTTAGTCAGCTTTTTCACTGCTGTGACCAAATGACCCAACCAGCACAACTGTAGAGGATAAGAGTTTATTTGAGGGTTCACAGTTTCAGAGGTCTTGGTCCATAGAAGGCYGGCTCCATTCCTCGGGGCTCGAGGTGAGGCTGAACATCATGGCGCGAGAGTGTGGCCGAGAGAAGCAGCTCACATCACAGTGATTAGAAAGCAGAGAGACTCCCCTCACCAGACACAAATATATACCCAAGGCCATGCCCCCAAAGCCACTCCCCAATTCCCAACTCCTCCAGCCATACYCTATCACTTTTGTTACCAGTGTTAATCCTTATCAGAAGATTAAAYCATTGATTAGGTTAAAGACTCTTTCTTACAACCCAATCATTTCTCCTCTGAACCTTCTTACAATGTCTCACACATGAGAGCTTTTGGGGGACAGCTCACATTCAAATCATAACACAATGCACTCTACAAGAGGCCAAATCCAATATCTCAAGGTACAAGTGGCAACTGATAAAGGAATAAAACAGATTATATAATTAGTACTCAAGTATGTACACACCTATTCTGGATTTATAGGATGGCTTGCTTGTGCATTCAGATCCTCCAACATTTCCAATTCCAGGTTAAACAGTTCCATTCCAACACTACTCATTTCACCCATCTTCAAGCAGGAAGTAGCCAGAGCTGTCACTGCCCCCTTATCAGTTAAGACGTGTAGTGGAATTTGGACAGAAGGGAAATCGTAGCTGTCTATGGTTTTCTTTGCAAGAAAAAGCCTATGCCTCCTTGAGCATGTAGCCCTCATTAATCATTTAAACTAGCCGCACAAGGTTGATTTACTGAAACTCCYCTAATCTTGCTTCACCCTTCCAAGGCTGGTGCAAATGAACAGATTACCAGCAGGTTTCATCAATTTCTTCCTAAAGATAAAAAAAGCTTAAAACCTGTGTTAACACGGTCCTTCAGAATTCTAGTTCACCGTCTTCTCCATCTTGCTGGCTTACCAAATCTTGCTCCTTACTCTAGCAACTTGTCCTGGATTTGTCAGGCCCTTTTTGAGCAACACAAGTGTTACTAATACCATCTCTATTTGGATTATAGGCCAAGAGTTCCAAATTAAACTGGTGATCATTAGTCAAACTGAAGGCATATTGCCTAAGAAAAAAATAGTTGATTAGCTTAGCATTGCAAATTCAGTTATAAAGTGAGAATAAGGATCAAAGTGACAAAGAACCAAAAAGGGAGGTAAATCACAGGAATGTGATCAAGGAACAAGAGTCCAGGATATATACTTAAATTTATCTCAATAACCTCTCAAACTAGAGCACCATGAATGACTGATAATCCTGAATCATTAAAAAACATTGATTTACCTGTGCATTTACTTAGAATATCCAGTGTCCTCAGGGGTAAGATGGGGATATCAAAAGACGTACAATAAATATTTGTTTAATTTTGTAATTAAAGGAGTGATAACACAGTATGGCTTCTACCCTCAGGAGCTTACAATGAACTTGAAAGACAAAATTAATATAAAAGAAAGTTAATTATTAAGTACTTTATTTAAGTATAGTATATTTGCCAAGTCAGGAAAGCAGTAGGATTTACTTTATACATACTTCCATTCCAAAAGCTTGGAAAAAAATCAGTAATGTAAGCTATAACTCTTGAATATCCAGAATAGTCTTCTGGATAATGCAAGCATAAATAAGTTATCTTCTTCACACAAATTATCCCCCCAAAGTAATTTATAACATGTAATTCTATCTCTAAAAACAGTTACAATCCCTCTTAAATTGAATACGAATAAGCGTGTGAAAGGAGCACAAGTTTTAAAACTTCAATGCAAAATTTTAATACATTGGTTTTAACCATTATCCTTTCTTTTTATTTTTAAATGCTACACATGGGCTGGATTATAGGTTCCAAGAGTCATAACAACTATAGACCATTCTGTTGGTTAATAATTCATTAAAGTTCTCGAATCTCTGACTGTAAGGCAATAATTGGGAACTGATTTCAGAAACAGAATGCAAGTACTGAATTACAAATTCTACCAGGTCAGCTAAAGTAGGTGGAGAATTCACGTAAGATGGAAGAGTGAAGGTTTATTTTACCCATTTCAAGACTTCTCCACATACTTTGCCAGTTTGAAATAGGCTAGGGGAGAATGAGAATAGTTTAAAAAGTGTATTTCTTATTTTAATGTGTAAATACACATCCTTAAAGGTTAAGCCTATCTCTAACCTGTCATCAGTTCAGTGAAATACACTGCTTTCTTCTTAATCATTGGTGACTTCAGAACATGATTGTCCACTGAGAGGAACTAAAGCCTGAATACAAAGCAATTATGAAATGCAGGCAGCCAAAGGCCAGTAGGTGGGACAGCAGAAGTACATACTCTTGCCGCACAAACTCTCATACAGCTTAAAAGCATCATATCTATAACTATCCTGAGTGCTACATTTCCTATATGTGCCTGAATTATGAACACCTGATATATTCTGTATTCTACATTTAGTAGACAATTTGTTCAATAATACTAACTTGACTTACACTTTTCTTTCTCATATTCTGAACAGGTAAATCTAAGTAAAAAAAAAAACTATTTGAAAGATAAATTAAGAATAATTTTTGGGCTGGGGGATGTAAAGTGCTTGCTTTGCATGCCCAAGGCCCTGGGTTCAATCCCAGCACCACCAAAAAAAAAAAAAAAAAAAAAAAGAATTTTTAAGAGACTGGGGTTGTGGCTCAGTGGTAGAGTGCTTGCCTAGCATGTGTGAGGCACTGGGTTCAATCCTAAGCACCACATAAAAAAATAAATAAACAAATAAAATAAAGTAACTTTTTTAAAACAAGAATAATCTTTAAGGAATCAGGAATCTTGATTTAGACCATAAATGACTTAAAATACTATTACTCTGAATTTATTAGTACATCTTAATCATTTTTTGCACTAATTTTCAACATAATTCTTAGATAATATTCCACTTTTTTAAAAAAGCTATTAGAAAATTATGACAATTACTTTGGAATGCAACATTTAAAACATTTTGAAAAATGATAAATAAAAACATGAACCTAGTGACTGAAATCTGCATTATTCCCAAGAGTTCAATGCAAAAAAGATGTTACCTTATATTTTACATTCAATTCATATCTTTATCTCTATGCCCAGGCAAACACTCTGTTTCAAGACTATTACTTTGTTTCTTGTAAAGACATTTAACTCATTGTTACTGCAAATATATTTAAAATATTTTATGATTACTTATGAGTAATTATGTATTACCTTTTATATTAGTCAGGGTTCTCTAGAGGAACAGAATCAACAGGAAGTATAATTTTAAAAGGGGGATTCATTAGGTTGGCTTACACAAACAGAAGCTGGATAGTCCACAATGGCTGTTTGCAGGCTGGAGAGCTGGAAGAACCAGTAGCTACACAGTCCAAGAAGCTGAAGCCACAGAATAAGAGGGATCAATGGTTCTATCCTAGTCTGAGATGGAAGGCTTCTGGAAATTCCCTGGAGAATCACTGGTAGAGATCACTTTGGAAGAGTGAAAAAGCAAGAGAGATCCTCAGACATCACAGCAGCAATCAAGAACCCATTCAAGAAGAATCGAGTTTGCATCTGCTGCTGCTTCCTTGTTCTTCCAACTTTCATTTCATCCAAGCCATCATCCTATTGGAAGGTGCTGCCCATGCTTATGGAGGGTCTCCATTTCAGTTGGCCATCCCACATGCCAATCATTCCTTGACACACCCTTATCAACACACTCTTTAATTCTTGTATCTCTTAATCCAATCAAGTTGACAATTCAAATTGGCCATTACACCTTTCTAAAATACTAGGGTAAGGATCATTGTTATATTCACAATACAAAATGCTCATAATGTTAAGTTTCCTAAACTTCTTTTTTAATGTTTCAAGTGTACTTTATTTCTTCAATATGCCATAGGTATAATAGGTACACAGTGCTTTTACTTGGCATCAATTATAAGTTGGCACAATTACTGATCTCTCCATTCCTTTGGGATGACTCAGCCAACAGGGGACAGGTTCCATTCTATTCCAATTTGCGTTACTATGTGTGTCCACACAGCTCTAATAGTTAATACCACATTACCATATTTGTCTGGAAATCAGGTGCTCTGTCTTGCCATTGTTTGCTGGATGTTCAAACTTGGAGACGATTTAGTGCATTTTTGGCCACGAGAAACATCCAGGAACTGAAGTGAACTGCGGCAACTGAAGCTGCTGGTTTGGTACAAATTTGTTCCAGGTACCCTTGTAAAAGCTTAAATTATTTTTTAAGTAACTCACTATACTGAGTTTTTGTAGGTTAAAAAAAAACACTGCCTAAATTCATGAAATCCATGCAGCTCATTACTGTACCAGATATTAAAACCTTAAGGACTGGTCCTCATTACCCTGGAAATTTCTACAAAATAAGCCACTTGCACCACATTTAAATTTATAGGTTATTTTGTCCAGCTGTTCAACCAAGAGTAATACTGCTCTAAGAAATCAACTCTAAATTCATGTCTTTGTCTAATTGATACTATTTTTTCCAACCCATATAAAAAATTGATTGCCTAAACATATGTAAAACAATACAATGTTTAACTTTAGCAAATTTGCTAAAGTACTGACAACAAATCAATGTTCTGGAAATTCTTATTTTAGCAACTGTCTAGAAGTTAACTTCTAGAAAAATCAGCCTGATACAATGAAATCATTCATCACAATTATACAATATAATTTYTCCATTTTTGAGGCAAAACATAAATATTATGTCCTTTACAAAATGTCTATATACTAAAATTTATATGGCCTATAAAGGTAGCTAATATAATTGATTCATACCCTTTAGATAAACCAATTGGGCACACATTGTTCTTTTCAAACATTTATATAAAGAAGGAAATCAACATTGGTAGTATCAGTAAGTTTGATTAGCAAGTGTCACCAGGTAGTATGATTGTCTTATCAATAGCTAACGTGTGACTTGATTCTAATCACCATTATAACTGAACAATCTCTAAATTATACCACAAGTTGTAACCCTCCATCCACTACTAGAACATGTCCTGTAATATATGGTGATTCTAAAAGAAACACAATTGCATGTGCCACCTCAATGGTTTCTCCAAACCTTCCAAGAGGAATGCTTTTCTTTAACTGTTCTTCTTTCAAGTCTTTCGTCATATCTGTATGAACAAATCCTAAAACAGAAGTGATCATTCAGAAACTATTCAAATTATACTGTTTTATTGTGTGCAGCACATATGAATATATTATAACAAATCCCACTGTTATGTATAATTATAATAAGCCAATAAAAATGATTACTCATTAGAAGAGAGGAGACACTAAGATATTTGCTCAATTTTGAAAAAATGAATTTGCACCTGAAAATGAGATGAATAAACCTTGTTTTGGAGATARTTTTGCTATCAACTAAATAAACAATCTACAATTTTACTCACTTTAACTCAATGAACATTTACTGAACACTAAAATATATGATCACCAAGTATATGGCCAAACTCTTAGCAAAATGTAAAGACAAGCTCATATAATGTCATGGGTGGATACAGACATGAATAAAACAAAATTCCATTCCTTTGGAAACCTATAATTCATGGAGGAAACAATCACTTATATACACAATTATGGTGTAAGGAAGTCTGGTGAATATCCTTATAGTGGTATAAATAAAAGGCCACAGAAATGATTAAATTTCACTTGAGTGGGAATAAAAGAGTGAGAAGTTGTGTTGAGGGAAGACAGGCATCACAAAAAATGGTCACATGAACCAATTTGGCAATTCTGATAWGAACTAGTCAGTTCCATTTGCTATGGCCAAGATAATTGATGATTAGAAAGTCCAAAGTTTCCAATAAATGTATAAGAACAAAATCTGGTAGTCATATCCAATTCCAATGTGAGTATACACACAAAAATCAAAATTTAAATTGGTATTGGTATAGGTATGCAATAAAGCTTGCAGAGAACATTTAAAATATAAAGTTCCACAGTATAAAGTACTATATATTATATTAAGCAACCAATTTTAAATGATAACTGATATATTAAGGAAAAAACATAGATTTGTTAAGAAAATATAAGATTAATCTGAGACATACAACTACATGCTACTAATAAAATGCGTAACCCACAATCAATACTTTATATAGTACTCAATCTTTTAGGTTTTTAAAAAGAAAGTAAATATTAATCTACATGAAAACAACAGTAGTTAGTAGTAGTTAGGTCACAAAAAATAGATGGACTAAAAATTAGATGTGCTACATGATTGTTYAGTGTGCAATCTTAAAAATATAGTTTTCAAATTGGCTTATGTTAAACTAATCATACATAAAATCAACCTAAATATAACTGTCATTGAAAGTACCATAATAAATGTGAATTAAATACTGTCTTAAGAATCAATTAGGCCACTAGTTTATTATACAGACCTATGAAATTTACTTTAGGTTTTAACTTAAAAATAGCTAATATTTTCTTAAAARTGTTGTAAGAAATAATCATAGATTCACTATCATGAAGTCTATGACAGTGTCAGATTATTAGGGAAAACCTAGAAACAAGCTGACAACAAACTAGTTAAATAAACCATTATATCCACATAATAGAAAAATATTCAGGTATTTACAAATGATGCTATAGAATAATATAAAATGAATGAAAATTGTATATTTAAAGGAAATCTTACATGAACTCAGTTATATCACTATTAAAAACAAAAGCCAGGCACAGTGGCACACACCTGCAAGCCCAGAGGCTCGGGAGGATAAGGCAGGAGGATCTCAAGTTCAGAGCCAGCCTCGGCATCTTAGTGAGACCCTAAGCACCTTAGCAAGATGGTGTCTCAAAATAAAATATAAAAAGGGCTGGGAATGTGGCTCAGTGGTTATATGTTCCTAGGTTCAATTGGTACCCCCCCCCAAAAAAAATCTAATATATACTATTAACTAAGAAACTATGTGCCAAAATAGTGGTTATCATTAGATATCAGAATTACAAGTGAGGAGTATTTTCTTTGTACTTTTGGGTTTTTTTCAAATTGTCCACAAAAATACATATTATTTTTGCATTCATACAAAAAGCTTTCAAATAGCAAGGTACAGTGCTGCATGCCTATAGTCTCAGCCACCCAGGAGGCTATGGCAAGAGGATTGCTTGAATCCAGGAGTTCAAGACCAGCCTAAGTGACACACCCTGTCTCAAAAACAGTTATGAAAAAAATATATGTACACAATACTAATTTCAGATGGTCTGTAATAAGGGCCAAAAATAACAAAACTACTTTAGTATTATTTTGTGTTTCAGTGAGAGATTGTATTATGGAATAAAAAACTCTTCTGCCACAAAATTTCATCACATGTATTTGAAAAGTTAGCAATATTACTTTCATTTCTTTCATCAAGAACAATGAAAAAAAGGAAGAATAAAAGGAGAAGCAGAGCCAGGAACAATGGTAAACGCCTGTAATCCCAGCAGCTCAGGAGGCTGAGACAGAAGGATTTCGAGTTCAAAGCCAGCCTCAGCAATGGTGAGGCACTAAGCAACTCGAAATAAAATACAAAATAGGGCTAGGATGTGGCTCTGTGGTCAAGTGCCCATGAGTTCAACCCCCAGTACCAGAAAAAAAAAARRGGGGGGGGGRACAGTTGACACAGCTAATAATTAGCCTCTGCAGAATTTCAAGGGAACTGTAAATGAAAATTAATTTACAGTGAAGAGTCATAACAAACAATATGCCATCCAATCATGTTAAGAACAATATGATGAGGCTCTTGATATCCAAAGTTTTCAGTGTTTGAACACACTCACTTTCCAAGGTGCCTCTCCCTGACTTATGAACAGATAGTATCTTAGAAAGAAAACYCACATTTATTGAATAAATTCAAATTATGAATAAAAATTAAAAGTTTATCTAATTTTCTTAAAATTTATGATACAGTTATCCTTCAGTCTAAGGTCTTTTTGAATTCTAATAAAATTGGCATAGAATACTTCCCAGCAACTACAAACTCTCAACAGAAAAATCAATTGTATGTTTTAACCTAACATGAACAGTAGAAATGATTTGCAAGAAAGATCTTATGAACACAGGTTAGCAAATTCCAGCTTCAACTTCTAACTGGCTCTGGTAGCATTTTGTCAAAAGCAGCATTTTGTGGTAAAAAGGCCAATGGATTAGGACACATTAAGCAAGATTCTGTTCCACAGTATGAAAACTATGGCCTGAGGAAGTTATGTACTGTCTAAAATGTATGGCTGTTTTCTGTGCCCTAATGAATGAAGTCAATTAAAACTAACAGATCTCTGAGCTTTCTTTTAGCTCTACTACTCTGACTGAAAGATGAAAAGTATGCGTCATTAAGCAGTTTTCATGACTTGCTAACTTTACTTGAAGTTTAGGAAACTGAGCTCCCCTAAAAGGACCCTCAGTTCTTGACACTCTTAGGTGTACAGCAGTTAGAACAGTTCCAACTCAAAAAGAACAAATGCAATCTGAGTTTCCATCTATGCTGTCCTGAAAGGAACTGATCTGCCCTGCTTCTTAGTGAACATCAGTTCTGATGTTTGTCCTTTTGGAAACGAACAGTAAGTCCACACAACCTATGACAGGCCATTTGAAGGAGTTTCTACCTTGAAAATAAGCATATCTAGAACAAGGAATGAGGAACTGCAGGCAAACTTTACACAAAGAGGCTTAGGCAATGAGACAAGTTCATGGACAATCCCAGTGAAATGGAAAGATGATCTCTTCAACACAGACTGTGGTTCTCAAAAACAATTACACAAGCAAAATACAGAAAACAGCCAAAGGATGACAGCTTAAATCCTTGAATAAGGTCTTGAAACTTTGAATGAGGTCTTTTAATAGTCTACATTCGGTGGCAAATCACAGATACAGTCTGTGTCTATTTAGGTGAGATCTCTAAATAAGAGTGGTACTCTCAGTYCAGCATGATTACAAGTTCAGAACTGAAATCATGGTGTTCAGCCACCCACATCATAGGAAGATTCTCCCTGCACTTATTCAAGCATGGAAGATAAGAATGTTATTTCATTAGAGGAAACTAACCACAGCTTCTACTCACCTATGCACAAATACGTGAAATAACAAATCTCGTGGGATAGCTGCTAACCATCAATGAACACTGTAATAAAAATCTAGAAGTAGTCAGGAACAGTGGCACACGCCTGTGATCCCCAGCAGCTCAGGAGGCTGAGGAAGGAGGATCACAAGTTCAAAGCCAGCCTTAGCAACTTAGCGAGGCCCTAAACAAGTTAGTGAGACTCTGTCTCAAAATAAAAAATGAAAAGGGCTGGGGACCTGACTCAATGGTTAAGCACCCTGGGTTCACTCTCAATACCAAAAAGAAGTCTAAAAGTAAAGTGGGTAAGTAAAGAGAGGCCAACTTGATAGGAAGGGATAAATCCATACATCAATACATACTGGGTTTTCCCTCTTAGATTATGTTTGATATAAAGGACAAGAACATGTCAAGATTTTCTTTCATCATTATTGACAGCCTTTTCTAAATAATAGACTTTATTTTAGAACAACTGTAGGCTTATAGAAAAACTGAGCAGAAAGAACAGGAAGTTATATCTATAAACCCCCTTATCACACTGCCCTCCCCAATTTCCCCTATTATTAACATCTTACCTTAGTGTTAATTGAACCAACTAGTTGAACCAATATTGATAAGTAAAATCCATAGTTTTACTTCTGGGYTCACTTCTTAGGTTATACAGTTCTACAGGCTTTGATAAATTCATGTCATGATATCCACCATTATAGTATCATACAGAATAGTTTCACTAAAAGCCCTAATCTATCTGCAACTTTTTAAAYGTCATTTATCTATCCCAGCCCATCTGAAATAAAAGAAAAAATGTGAAGCTAGTCTCTAATGATAAGTTACTCTGGGCTCTAMCTACCAAATATGACAAGGTAGACCATGGTTGGAGGAAGTAGGTAAACAGGAGTGTGCCTTAAGGGCTTATAYTTTGTCCTTGGAGAGCAGAGCTCACTCTCCTTCTGGTTACCTGTCCTGAATTGCTTTCCTCTGCCACTCCCTTTTACCATARTGTTCTGCCTCACCTTCAATACATCATTTTATAYTGAACTCATAAACTATGATCCTCACTCATAAACATATTCACAACCTAAGACATGATATAAAAGAAACTTCCTGGGTTCTATACCACATACACAGGCCTGAGGAGAGATATGAGTAGCCCTTAAACATCCCACACATCTATCTTTGTGCTTGTATCACTTTCTAGTTCATTCTTTCTTTCTGTGCACCAAAAGACTCTCTCCAATCTTTCACTTTTAATTTGTAAAATTCTAGGAATTTTGTTATACTCCCCCTTTTCCAAGGCAAATACTAYAGTGACTTTCAAGCTGAGCTATAAAAAGTATACACTACCAGTAGGTGCCACTGTCCAACAAATGACGTTGCTGCATTACTTTACTGAACAGTTAAAATTTCCAACTGGCTAYAAAACAATCATTCCTTAAATCAGTAAATTGATAACTGAAATGACAGGCCCTCAACCAACTAAGAACAATTTCCATTTTAGTACTATAGATTTAATGATATACCCAATACACCTTTGCAGGGTGCTGGGGATTRTGCACAGGCTTTGCACATGATAGCCAAGAGCTCTAATACTGAGCCACACTCCCTACACCAAASTTTTTTCAACATGAGCTCTTCAGGAAGAGGACTACTGTTGCTCATAAAAACTGCATGGCTCTTGTCCAATGAGAATTTATATTTCATAAATTCTGAGGGAAACATATTTCATACATCCACTTCTGACTAGCCACATAGCATAAATAAACAGCAACATCTCATTTCCATATTACTAAGTCACCATTTCAGTTTTTGACATGTTTATACACAACAAACTTTATATTTAAATTAGATACCAGGATTTTATCTATCACCAGTATAGTCTGAGTGCCCTCATCAGAAATAGTTAGAGCCAGTGACGACAGGCACCATGACACAACCCTGAAATCCCAGCTACTCAGAGGCTTAGGCAGGAGGAAGCAGGTTGGAGGCCAGCCTCAGCAACTTAGTGAGTCCTTGAATGCCACATAAAAAAATTAAAAGGGTTGGGGATATAGTTCAGTGGTAGAGCACCCTACCCCAGAGTACTGAGGGGAAAAAAAAAAACACTTCAGACCAGAAGTATCCCAAATTTTAGATTTCTTCAGATTTGGGTATCTTTGCACAAATGTGAGACACCCTGGGAATGGGCYTCAAGTTTAAACAAGAAATTTGTTTCATATATACCTCATACACATCCTGTAATAATTTTATAAAATGTTGTTGGTGCACTCATACTTTGACTGCAACTGATCAAACGACATTGTGTGGAACTTTTCCACCATTTCAGCACTCAAAAAAGTTTTAAATTTTGGAGCACTTCAGATTTTCAGATTAGGATCCATAACCCATATTATCAAATGTGGGATGTGGCACTATATAACAGACCTAAAAGTTCAGATGTCCATTCTCTGCCGTAAGTTTCTAGGATCTGAGAAGAACTCAACCCTAGACACTTCTATAAGGAAGAAGAAACAAGGGTCTTGCCAAAAACTAGATCAAGATTTTAACCAGAACAGGGCTAGGGCTATAGCTCAGTTGGTAGAGTGCTTGTCTAGCACGTGTGAGGCACTGGGTTTGATCCTTAGCACCACATAAAAATGAAATAAAGGTACTGTGTCCATCTGCTATAAAAAACATTTTTAAAAGATTTTAACCAGAACAAATTTGCGTGTCTTACTGTTATGCTTATGGGTGGAACAGTGTTAAGAAATAAACACCAAGCAAAATAGCACCTAAGAGCACCCAGAGTAACACCTGCTCTGAGCAGACGTCATGCTTATGCATGTGCTTGTCAACAAGATCATCTCTAAGTGGTAAATACAAAAGCTCTCCAACTTAAAAAATAACAGTAGCAAAACACTTAAGCACCCTATAGAAATAAATTCAATGTATCATTACTTGTCAAATTAAAAAGGCATAGATCCTCCAAGCCTTGGCAATTCTATTTTCCAGATTACAATCATTCACTTGCAAATATGCAAGATAAATTATGCCCAAGTATTGTCACTGCATTTTTAGTTGTAACAGAAAAAGATCAGAAGCAACCTAAATGTCCATCAAGTGGCAATAGGTTAAACAAGATAGGTATATCCCCTAAAACATTATTAGGGTACACCTAATTAAAAACAGACACTATGATCTTTTAGTTCAGCCATTAAAAGTGATGATGCAGCAATCACAAAATTCCAACTATTTTAAGATTCCATGTATACAAAATRTCCCAAATAGGCCAATCTATAGAGATAGAAAGTAGTTTAAGATTGCAAGGAGCTGGGGAAACWGGAGAGAAATGGGGACTAAGGGGCAAAGTATTTCCTTGGGGATTATGCAAATATTCTAAAATTTATTTAGGTAATAATTGAACAGCTATGCGACCATCTTAAAACCACAAAGTTGTACACATAAAAATGAGTGAAGTGTATGGGACATGACTTACATTTCCATAAAGCTGTTATTTTAAAAAGTGAAGTAGAAGGGTAGAGATTTTAATAAAAAAAAACTTATCTTCCAAAACAAAGTGTAGTGCCTCTATATAAAATAATATGGATTCATCTCCAGTATATATTGTTCCATGAATAAAACAAGAATATGCGACTAGTATAATACAATTTGTTTTTAGACACACACACACACACACACACACACACACACACACACTTATTGGCTTATACATGAAATACAGAAGAAACTAGTAACAGTGGTGATCTTAAGGAAAAAAATTATGTCTAGACAAGACTGACTCACTTTTTCACTCTATGCCTTTCTGTATTACTAAATCTTGTATAATATGTACAAATTATTTTAAACATTTTTAAGTAATGTATCTATTACAGGTTCAATTTATGAAGTATTCTGTTTCCCATACTTAATATTTTCCAACTAGTAAGAATGATGATGAGTTTATTTTATAAAGTAATATCAAAGTTTAGAAAGTACTGATCTTTAAAACACTCAATAATATTGGGAAATGAATAATGTCATAATTTATTACTTACCTTGTTCCTTGGTTTTCTTGTTATAATATACTTTTTAACTATTTCCATACTTACTACCTGGAACCTCCATTTTAAGGTGCCCAGGAAAATTATTTCTTTTTATGTCAGCTAACTCTTACATTTGTTAGCTCTGTTAAAAGATTTGCTAAGGAATCTGGTTGAAATTACTATGTAAATAAGGTTAATAATCCATGGAATTGATTCATTCTATTTCAATTTGTACTTTGCCTGTGACCAACGAAGCATATTTATACTATGAAATCTGCTAGATAATATTTAACCAATATAATGTAATAAAGGTCACCCTATTGAAATGACCACATTTTTAGCAACAAGTTTTTATCCACAGTATTAACTGCACTGGAAAGTAAGTTAAGAAAGGGTATACCACACTTCCCTAACACTCTTTGTATACAAACTGGATTCCCACTATTTAGCCTATTGTCTTGACAATTAATTCACTCTAGACAAAATTAAACCATCCTTCTTCAGCATTTCCACTGCACCATACATATATCTTTACTTTCAGTTCATCACGATGTTGTAATTATTTGTTTATATGTCTGTCTTTCCCAAGATGCCTAGCTCCCTGTGATGGAAATACTTATCTTTGAAACTTCAGGAACTAACACAGCCCCTGCACACAGGAAGCCACTTCAGGAAGTTTGCTGCATGAGTTATTGTGACTTAGAAACACTTGCATTACCCCTACACTATACAGCTTTTAAAATATCATGAAGCAGAATTCACTTTTCATTGCCTACACTATTTACAATCCTGAAAAGAAGCAGATATATGTAGTTGCAAATCAAAAATAATTTATACCACAGATGATTATCTAAGCTAATACTAAAATCAATCAGCTCACGTAAAGCACACACAAATAAAAAACAATACCAACATAATGAAATAAAAATGCAGCTTTTGGAATTTTTTCAAAAACTGGGTGCATCTGAATTATAGTCAGTTATCAAATGTTCATGGATTTGGAATGTCTGAATTTAGCAAGTCTTTGTGCCTAAACAATGAACTGGGATAAAGGACACTAAAAGGATTAACAGGTCATTTTAATAAATCAGGGATACCTGCTGCTCAACATCAAATGTCAAATAAAACGCCAACTCTAGGGTCAAAGCTGGGGCCATTAGTGACTGCAAAGGGAAAGATCTGCTGCAGCTCACTTTTTCTTACAAACAACAAGTGACCCAAAATAAACTTTTTTATATAAGTAATGAATTCTTAAATATTTATAGAAAACTAAGACAAAGATTTCAAGGCTAACTGGCAAAGGTATATGAAAACACTCCATTTATTCAAATAAACACTTAACAAAAATCTAGCATGACAGCTAATAAGTGATAASGTGGATCTGAGTTTTAACACCTTTTTACTATACTCTTCACTAATCTAGGCAATTTTATTAATTAGTAACTTAATAAAATATAAAGGTAAAAGTAAAAAATTGGAATGGTCCAGGTAATTTATGTAGACATAGTAGCAAAATAACTTCAATTTTTTAATATTATAAGGGAAATCTTAGGGGGCTTTAAAGTTTTCCATAAATTAGTAATGCAATTAGGTAAGTCACTCCAAATCCTAGGCTCAGTTTTCTAAACTATAAAACTGCCTAGAATAAGTGATCTCTAAGATCCTCTTTACCTTGAGTTGTTCCATAATTAGTATAATTTTTTTAAAATACATATTTTAAATAAAATATGAAATACAAGGATTTTTTTTCTTGTCACCAATTCGTTACTTGAGTCTTTTCACAATCATCTCAAAACCACTCTACCCAGATGGCAATCAATCACTACTCATAGATGGACAAATTAATGGCTTCTCTAGAAAACAAAAATAATAAAGTTATTTTAATAAAACGTTTTGGGGGTGGGGTTGTGGTTCAGTGGTAGAGTACTAGCATGTGTGAGGCACTGGGTTTGATCCTCAGCATCATATAAAAGTAAATAAAATAAAGATATCGTGTCCATCTACAACTAAAAAATTAATAAATAAATAAAAAGTTTTTACTGACCTGGTGCAACTACATTCACTCTAATTTTCTTTCGTGCTACCTCTTTAGCAAGTGCACGTGAAAATCCAACCAATCCTCCTTTACTGGCACTATACACAGACTGGCCAGAATTGCCTTTTAAACCGATAATACTTCCTAGAAGAAAAGAAATTAAGCAAATTCAAACTAATTCATAGGAATTATATAAAAATTCAGATAATTTATAGTAAACAAATAAAAAAGGTAAAACCCATTTTACCTTATCCTTTACTCACATTAGTAATTCTACCCACTGTCATTTGAGTAGTAAGACTTTAAGAATCCAAGTATGCTCCAGACAAACACAGAAAACAAGATCAGAATGAAGYACAAGTGCCAAGTAGGAGGCTTGCAAGCCAATCTAGAATGCAGAGCATTCCAATCTCTGAGTAGGTCAGCTATAATGAAAATTCTGTGGCTTATAATGGCTTCTAGTAGGAAGAGGTTGAAGCCAGAAAGTCTAATTAATTTTACCTTTCTACAACTAGACGTAAGGAAATACTTACTTCTACCTAAATCCATCTGAAGATAAATCTCACTAAATTAGAACTACAGTTGATCTAAACTTACCAGTTCCACTTCAATTATAACTTTTCATAAATGTGCAATTTTGTTGCTTTCAATGATATAACTTGTATTGCCTACTAAAGATTCTTAGGTGTGGGAGACYAACCTTGCACATGACTGGGTCACACTCCCAGGCTGGGTGCTGAGGCGCTCAGACACAGAAATGTGGCAGAGCTTTCCCCACCTTTCTTGGGTTCGAGGATCGGTGTCTCGTGCATGGGTGTGTCTTGCTACAGCGCCATGGGTGAAGCTATGCTCACCTGTTCCTTTGTAATATAACCCCTTGCCCTCTTTAGGATAGAATCTTCCATGAAAGTGCCTTGTGTGTGTCCCCTTCTCTTACTGTGCCCTAGGGTGCGGCCTACCCAGGTGTCAGTCAACCTGCTGACAGCGGACATCATGAGGACAGACTCAGCCCCCCTGAAACCTGACACCTTGCCTCATTTGAATAGCTTCTCCTCAATAAAAGGGGTCAGCATATGCTCCTGCTCTCTCTTCCTGCGGACCCTTAAGGTCAGAGGAGCTGTCACAGTGACCCCAAAGAAAAAGGTATTTGTGTCTCTTGTGTGGTTATTTTACGCAGCCCAGTCAGCCCAATTCAACTGGAGTGACCCCTGAGCCTTTTAGTCTGGAGAACAGAAACCCGGCACTTAGGTGACTTCATTTAAAGAATTTGTAATTTATATTTATATAAGTCATAAATTATATTATTTATAATTCAAAATATCAGCTATAYGCAAATAATTGCTTGCAAAACAGAAGTAGGGAAGCAATTTTCTGCACCACTGACCTGTATTTATGATACAAAAATTAAATAAGCTCACAAAAATTTTTAAGTAATTTTACTTTAGAAAAAGAAAACATCAACATCACCAGGGGCAGTGGTGCATGCCTATAATCCCAGTGGCGCAGGAGGATCCTGAGTTCAAAGCCAGCCTCAGCAACWTAGTGAGGCCCTAAGCAACTCAGCAGGACCCTGTGTCTAAAGAAAATGTTAAAAAGGGCTAAGGATGGGGCTGGGGATGTGGCTCAAGCGGTAGTGTGCTCGCCTGGCATGCATGCGGCCCGGGTTTGATCCTCAGCACCACATACAAAACAAAGATATCGTGTCCGCCGATAACTAAAAAATAAAATTCATATTTTCTCTCTCTCTCTCTCTCTCTCTCTCTTTAAAAAAAAAAGGGTGGGGGGCTAAGGATGTGACTCAGTTGTTATGAGCCTCTGGATTCAATAGCTGGTACCCAAAAGAAAGAAAGAAAAMATCTACTTTTTCTATTATAATCAAATCCAATATTAAAAATTTACCTACATTATATAGTCATGCATTGCTTAATGACAGGCACATACAGATTAACCACTGTTAGGTGATTTCATAGTCATGCAAACATCACAGAGTTCACTTACACAAAATAAGTTGGTAGAGTCTACTACACACCCCAAGCTACATGGTATAGTCTATTGCTCCTAGGCTACAGCATGTTACTGTACAGCATGTTACTGTCCTGGATACGGCAGGCAATTGTAAAGTATTTGTGTAATGATAGTATTTTGTGTATTTAAACATATCTAAAGATAGAAAATGTAAAGTAAAAATACCAGGAAATATGAATTTTTCACTTCCTGTTATGGTTTGGATATAAAGTGTCCCCTGAAAAGCTCATGTTAGACAATGCAGGAATGTTCAAAGGTCTGAAAGTGTGTCACTTTAACTTCTGCAAATTTATGCAACTACTACAATAATTGTTGTTTACTACCCAGTGTCCACAATTTTTTTAAATTCTTTGTCCATATTTTTAAAATTAGGCTTCACATAAAAATTTAAATTAGGCTTTGCATAAAAATTAGGATGCCAAATTTCTCTTGAAAAATCAAAATTATTAGCAAAACTGGAACCACATTCATGCACACCAAAAATCGACTAGATCTGAACACCAACTGAACCTAAATGTCTTCTGTCATTTATCACATGACCTCTACTGCCATTCTCTAATACTTGGTGATCAACATCCGCCTGTCCCATCAGGATGTGAATTTGTGATTCCTGTTTTACTCATTGATTAGCTAATTAAATCTTTTCCAACAGATAATACAAAGATAAATTTCATAAGTGAAAGTTACAAATTAGTGGATTAAATATGCTTATGGTAATACACAATAATTATAAACCCACAAAGATAAAAACTCACCTACATTAACAATAGACCCTCCCTGTTGTTGAATCATAGTCCTCATGGCAGCTTTACAAGTCAGCATAGAACCCAAGAGATTAGTATTAAGTTGAGATATCATATCTTCGGTTTTTGTTCTTACTAAAAGACTATCCCTACAAAAAATAAACAGCATGTAAATTAATAACAATTTTTTTAAAGTCAAGACATAGGTAACATTTTGATGGAAAGAGTGTAAGACATTCCTCATATCTGAGATAGAATGCCTAGAGGGTATTATTTTGACCTTGGTTTGTGAGCCACTAAAATAAATGATAAGCTTTTAGAAAGGATCCACTTGGAAGGTAGTTCCTACCAATTTCAGTTAAAGTGACAAACATTCCAAATTGCTAAAAGTAGTACCATGTAGCCAAAATATTTTGAATAGCCTAAGCAATTGCCATACTAAGCCTTGTTTAGCAAGACAATTAGTATATTATTCTAAATTCATCTATTTTTTATAAAAGAATGCCTACCTTATAATTCCATCAGTTCATATACTCCCCCCACAAAAAAAAAATACACGTATACATACACACACACACACACACACACACACACACACACACAGTGACAGAATTCAGAATACTGGTTAGCTATGAGGAAGTATTGAGAAGAAAAAGCCTTTAGAGTTATAGAAACATTCAATAGCTCAATATTGATGAGGATTAAAATATTAAAACTGATCAAACTAGACACTTATTTCAATATGAAAGAAAAGAATGCATGGAAAAGTTTTAAAACACACACTTTTTCTTACAAGTAAAACAACTTAATACATTAACTGATACTAATCAAAAGCCTAAATGGGTTAAAAAAAAACTTAGAAATTTACTTAAATCTATGACCAACCTGTTAATACCAGCTGCATTTACCAAAAAATTTACTTGACCTAAATGTTTCTCCATCTCTTCAAATGTATTTTGAACATCATGTTCTTTAGCAACATCACAGCTAAATGCTAAATGATTTCCTACAAAACAAAGTTACATTAGAATTAATTATAACTTAAATTTTGAATCTACACAGTACACATTTGTTAAGCCCCTACTACATGGTAGGCTTGTGCTAACCCTAGAGATAAAAGATAAGTATATCATAGGTTCCTGCTCTCACTTGTCAAATTAAACTGGGATGGGGTGGGCAGGGAACAAGAAAGTAATATAACAAAAGTTGATTTGAAAACTTTGGAAAGTTTTGTTGTTTTTTTGTAGGGCACAGTTGCACACACCTGTAATCACAGTCATTCTGGAAGCTGAGGAAGATAGGTTGAGCCCAGGAGTTCAAGGCTAGCCTGGGAAACAAAGAAAACTTGGCTTTTTTTTTTTTTTTTTTAACTGTAGATTGAACCCAGGGCCACTGTACCTCTTTCCATGCCCATCCCTTTTTATTTTTAGACAGTTCCCTCACTAAGTTGCTAAAGTTGACCCTGAACTTCAATCCTTCTGCCTCATCCTCAGGTGTCACTGACATTACAGGCATATGCTACAGCACCTGGCTAAGAGATCCTGGCTCTTAGAAAGATTGTTTTTATTTTTAAAAATAAAACTTTGTTTTGAATCTATAAAATTGTGGGATCCTTTTTCAAGTTTGCAGTGCTTTGTTAAGATTCATAATAATGTTCATAGCTTTAACACGAAACCTGTTATGCCCAATTCAACAGTCTTCTGGGTTCATATTCCTTGTTTGAAACTTATGTCTAATTCTTTAGATTGAATTTGTTTCTTTAGTCCTGAGGATAAACTCCAAGGTTTCTTTTTTGTTGTTATTTTTTAAGCACTAAAAATAAACTATTCTTATACATATATAATATATATAAAAGCCTGACCATCGGTATAGATGAGACAACAAAGAAAGCCATTAAAAAAAGCTAAAACTACAAATCATTTTTACTAAAAGTAATTGTTACCTCTCAAAAATAGCCACTTTTCAAAAATTGTTTAAATGCCAAAAAATCATACTTCAAAGGAAAATAAAATATTCCCTACTTAATAATCTACCATTTTAATACATGTTCCTTGATTTATGATGGGGTAACATCTAGATAAGCCCATCATAGGGTGAAAATATCATAGGTTGAAAATGCATTKCATGCACCTAACCTACCAAACAGGAAGCTAAGCAGTACTGTACACTGCAGAGTATGGGGTGTCTCCCCTCCTGACTGCATGGCTGCCTGGGAGCTAAGGCTTCTTGCACTGCTCAGCATCAAGAGTATCATCCTGCATATCACTAGCCTGGGGTAGATCCCAATTCAAAATTGTTTTGTTTTTTGAAACAAGGTCTCACTCATTTGTTAGGGCCTGGCTATATTACTGAGGCTGGCCTTGAACTTGTCATCTTCCTGCCTCAGCCATTAGGTCCAGCCATTTCAAATTTAAAGGACTCCTTCCCTCCTTCCTTCCTTCCTTCCTTCCTTCCTTCCTTCCTTCCTTCCTTCCTTCCTTCCTTCCTTCCTTCCTTCCTTCCCTCCCTCCCTCCTTCCTTCCTCTCCTCTCTCTCTCTTTCTTTCTTATAGTTGGACACAATACCTTTATTTTATTTATTATTTTTATGTGGTGATGAGGATCAAACCCAGGGCCTCACATGTGCTAGGTTCTACTGCTGAGCCACAACCCCAGCCTGAAAGAACTGGTTTCTACTGAATGCACATCACATTGTCAAGTCAGGTATATCTATACTCTAAATAGTACAATTTTTATAAACTAAAATAATTGCTTATTTTCTGCCTGATTTTGCCAAATATGTATACACTAACATTATCCCCTCATGCCTTTGGGAACAGTAAGACACCTGGGAAAAATCACACTTTACTAATGAAAATCAGTCACTCGGGAAACACATGATTCAAGGAAATGAAATGCCCAAAAGCATCACCTGTCTCACTCCTGGCTTTCATGTGAAGACTTATTGGTCCACAATTATCCTCTAAAACTCAACTAATGGTTTTTAATCTAATCAGCAAACACTGATGGTTTGGCATAACCCAGCAAGGAGCACCACTTTTTCCCTCCTTGGTCATATACTGGCAATGAATATGAGCTGAAAGACTTCTTTCTTTAATGGAAAGTCTCCAGTTGTAATTTTAGAGAGCCAAGTATTTTCCCAAACTAAGGAAACAATGAGTCTGAGCTGGTGGTACCAAACCTATCAGCAACTTCTTTTAAAAACAAAACACAAAACTTAACACCCTCAGGATTCTATTCCTCCCAAAGCCTTCCTGATAATAATTTACTAGTATTCTTCTCTCTTCTACTAATTGGTTCCGTCTTAGTATCTGCAAACCCTCAGACGTCATTTTTACCCTTACCATCAAGAAACTTAAGTTTGAAAAACAATAACTGACCCATTAATAAGAAAAAAAAATGAAGGTAATAAAAAGGACTGAGCCAAACAAATTCCAATTACTTACAAAATTCACAAAAAAAGGGAATCAATGATTTAAAATTCTTAATAGATGTAATAAAGCAAACCAGATATATCTCAAAACCGGCTGGCACCCAAAAGAGGTTTTCTCTGATGCACTGCTTTGGGCATTCGCATAGTGGCAGGAACACCTCTCGGGAAAACCAAAGTGAGCTTTTTCTACATGGCATGTCTACCTCTCCAGACTTAACCCTGTAGCTGTAGTCAGGGATCATTCCCTGACCCCCACATAAAGTTAAGTGTGGAGTTGCTTTCTCCTACCAGATGCCAAAACAGAGCTCCTCACTATTAGCAAAGGCTGCAGGAAAATGAAGGCTTGTTAGTGGGGCCTTACAAGACTGCGACTTCTTACTAAAATCCCCCAGCGCCCAGCCCTGGGCAGCAGGTGGCGTTGAGGTGCGAGCAGGTAGGGGTCTGCACCAACAGGTCTATCCTAGGGATCCGCGGCTGAATCACCAACCCTCAGAGTCGCTTGTGTTACACACGAAACTTCAGCCCTCGGGACTGCAGTCACGCAGCTGAACAAGCTCGGTACCTACCGCCGAGGTCACCTGCGGCGGCTTTGGCCACTTCCAGATTTCTGGCGATGATCGCCAGTCGGTAGCCTTTCTGGGCCATTAACTGGGCTACTGCCCTGCCAATACCCCGGGAACCTCCAAAAATAGCGCACACTTTGTTCATCTTGAACCCGTGAGTCGAAAACTTGGCTGAGAGCTGCCGCCCTCCTCCAGAGAACCTCGGGCTTTTAAAAAATAAATAAATAAATGGATAGATGGATAAAGCCAAGCCGCAGCACAACAGCCCAGCAGGAGCTAGCTCCAGCCCAGACTCTGGCAATTTAAGAAGTCGCGAAGAGTAAGATGTAAACGCGCTGACGTCAGCACGCACGCACCTCCGTCGTCAGCGTGTTGACGTCAGTACGCAGGATTCCCCAAAGCAGCGCCCTACTAGAACGTGGGCGACTGAGCGCGCGGCCGGCGGAAGACTGGCCCGGACGGGCTTCGGCTGACTGCTGGGACTTGTAGTCTTCGCGCCCGAGGGCACGGCATGGGCTCCTACTTAGTGCGGGGTGGGCTCATCTTGCTGAGGGACGCCTCTTTCCACCCTGGGAGGTGGGAATCTGGATTACAGCCCAGGTTACCACGCGTCCCAGTTTGCTCAGAACAGGGTTGTCAACAACATACTGCACTTTCCTCCGGAAAAGAGTAGTCGATCGCCGAAGTGATCGAAGTTAGCACCCAGAATGTGTGCACTATTGAGCGTGGATGTATCAGGGCTTCAGGTGTCTACCTTTCACCCAGGCTGCAGACTTTCACTTTGGCTGCAGACCTGATTTCCTCCCTGTCGAAGAAGTGGCTCCCAGGTATCGGACTCATGCCAAAACTCCCTACCTAGTCCTCCCCCAAGTTGGCCTTCCCACTGGCAGGCATTACCATCCATCTCAAAGGATGCTGTGAGCATGAATGTCCTGTCAAAGAACACAGAAGGAGCTCAAGAAACTTTTAAATCAATGAACAGTCTTCTCAGATGGATGAAACAAGGGTGCTATAGACAAAAATGGGTTCCTGGGGGTTTGTGGCACACGCCTATATTCTAGCTACTCTGGAGGCTGAGGTAGGAGGATTGCAAATGCGAGATCAGCAGGAGCAAGTTAGTGAGACTCTCGTCTCAAAGTAAAAAATAAAAAGGGGTGGGGATTTAGCTCAATGGTAGATGCCCTCAGATTCAATCTCTAGTACCGCCAAAAAAGAGAGATGGAGGTCCTGCATCTTTAAATAAGAGGTGTTGAGTGCTCTGAGAGTTAATGAGCTTAAAAGGTGATTATTTGTTACTAATATAGTGTAAAAAAAGGAAAGTTCTTGATACAAGATCATTGCACTAGATGTTTCAGAAAAGTATAAGCCATGGCCCCGGCCACCAAAAAACATACAACCTGCTGCAACAGAACTAATACACATGAAAACTAAAATTAGTAAAACCATAATTAGTAAAGTGCAAAGTTATATTAACACAAGAACTCAGAAAAGGGTCAATGAAGAATAAAAGAGCGCATGGAAAAGCTGGATTTGAGGGCTGGATGAGGTTGGAAAAGAGTAAAAAGACTAAGCAAGTTGAGCATTTTTAAAAAGCTTTTTTTTTTTTATTCTAAAAAGGATTTGAAATGGTTTGCAAGAACAAAAGAATAAGTTATTATAAAAAGGCACTGCTCCTTCTTCCCCAAGTAAAGACAATAAAATGAGGTCAGTAGAAAAATTTAATACAAATAAAGTCATGCTAGATGAATCTATTTAGGGCTGAAGTTGTAATTCAATGATACAGCACTTTCCTACCATATGTGAAGCCCTGGGTGTGATACCCAGCACTGCAAATAAATAAAGAGAATATAGTAAGTACTAGAGGAGAGATGCACATGTGACTCTGAATTTCCTAGTGGTCAAAGTAACAAAGGAAATATAATTAATTACACATAGCAATTTCTAGAAGAAATTAACATCTTGGTTATGCAGCAGAGAGTTCTGAGCAAAATTCCCTCTTTGTGGATCCCCTAAAAGGGACAATACTCTTGATAGTAGAAAATGCTCTTCATGGAAAACAAAAAAGATTGTAAGGCTATTTTTATAGCATCTAATATACTTTATTATAAAGCAAATACAATAAGTTAAACAATATAAGCAAACTTTCAGACACAAGAATGAGTCTTTGTATGCCTGATTACAGGAAAGGCAAGATGGTGTTGGGTTATAGCAGGCTTTAAAGCCATATGCAAGATTTTAAATTGGAGATTCTGTAGTCCTTTAATTCCAGAAGTAAGAAAATAAAAGCTACATTTAGAACCATTAGACTAGCCATGATATCAGGATAGAATGGAACAAATCTGAAACAGTTAAACCCCTCTCCCACTCTACACCTGTATGCAATCTTGGAAGGCAAAACTGTTAGAGATAAATCATCAACATAGGTATCAGCTACATGCAGATTGTAATCCTGCCATCCAGCATTTTATGGCAAAGTAGAGAAGTTCAGTCTTTGAGGACAGTTCTGTCTGTTTCATAGGAAAAGGGTTACATTCTTTTCACACATTGATATTTTAACAAGACAATATGGTTTTTAGATCTGTGCCATCTGTCACAAAGATCATTAACACATAATATGAGGTGACATTCAGAATTCTCAAAATCTTCTTACTTTTCTCACTGTGTATATACAGTAAATGGAAAGGTTGAGTTTTTCTTTCAACAGTCAGTTTAAACCCCAAGGGTATAATTTTTTTCCCTGTTATACAATATCACCATTATCCTGGGTGAGAATAAACCCATCACAACATCTCAGCCCTTAACTGGGACAGTTATTGGCAGAGGAAGTTTTCCCCTAAGTCCCTGATGGCAAAATAAGGGCTTGTAAATTAAACTGGGTCTCTCTTACCTAGCAGGACATCAACAAAAGCCATTAGAATGACCCACCTTTAATCTTCTCAGTAAATATATCACTTTTGTGGCAATATTTTGACCATATTTTATACTGTCTTTAATTTAAACCAACATTTTATCTTGGCTTTAATAATCAGAAGAGAAAATGCCTTATATATCAGGACATTCTAAATGATTTCTTTTTTAAAAAAAATATTTATTTTTTAGTTGTAGTTGGACACAATACCTTTATTTATTTATTTTTATGTGGTGCTGAGCATTGAACCCAGGGCCTCGCATGTGCTAGGCAAATGCTCTACCGCTGAGCCACAACCCCAGCCCCTATATCAGGATATTCTAAAATTTTAAAAAAGACTTTTATTTTTCTGATTAAAAAACAAATATCGGGCTGAGGTTTTGGCTTAGAGTAGAGTGCTTGCCTAGTATGCATGAGGCCCTGGGTTCTATCCTCAGCACCACGTGAAAATAAAGTAAAGGTAGTATGTCCACCTACAACTAAAAAACAAATCACCTCATTGCCAAAAATTAGAAAAAACTAAATCAAATAAGACTAATTGAAAGCATTGTACACTGTAAATGTGTGAACTGTATCGCATGCAAATTACGTATCAAAAGAACTGATATAAAAAATTTTTAATTGAAAGCCTACCATTCTGTTACATGAAGTTCGAATCTGCAACTAATTAAGAGGGTTGTACCTTTCATGGATATTTTTATCCTGAGTCAAGATGTATAATGTCTGAGATTCAAAATGTATAGAAAATAATTATTTACAAGAAATTCACAGCTATGATTTTATTGAGAATCCCCTTTACACAGTGCACTATACTAAGTGCATCCAACTTGGCAGACCTGTAATTGAACTGTCACCTTTCCTGCCAAGCATGCAGACTTCCAGAATTCTTTAGGCAGTGATGAGTAATCTGCCCTACCCAGATTGTACGTGGCCAATCTAGCATCGCAACACAGCCTGAGCTCTTATTTCAAGAAGAAAGATTAGAAAGTTGGCTCCGTGTGGCTGCACGGGAATAACTTTTGTGATTAAAAGGCAAGGTTGATTTTCCTGTTGACATTCTTCTATCCAATCTGCTGGGTAATCTAAGTTGTAAGGAATGTACTATTTTTTTTAAATCACTTACAAAAAGCTTATTTCACTTTAAGCACAAAGAAAGAAATGAAAAGGAAAAAAAAATGGACCCCTGAGCATTTCTGGGTTTTTATCGTTGTTGTTTTTGTTTGTTTATTTTTAATTGGAATTCATGCCTAAGCAAATGCCCATGGCGACCTAAACCCAGCAGCATCCTGGCACACTCAGTTGCCTAAGACACAACCTTGGAGTTTATTCCTACCCTTTCTCACACACCCCACATCCAATCAGCCACAAAGACCTGCTGATTCTCCTTCCCCAATATCACTCCAGTCTATACCCTCTCCATAAACACCACTGCCCATGTTTGTCCAGGTCCTGGGGTCTGAATACCCATACAGCTACTCCACTATCCTCCAGAACCCTCGACACCACCACCAGAGGGCTCCTTCTAATATACAAATCTGATTTTAATAGTCTCTTAAAAAAAATTATTCCCCATCAAACACGGCTAACATTGAATGTGGCCCACCACCATATCTAGTTACCACTCCAGTATCCTCTCCTACAACCATTTCCGACCACCACCCCACACTCACCCAGCTTCCAGTTCCACAATCTCAGCTGTTCAAGGTACTTCCATTGCTTGCAGTGACATGCTCTTTCACACTTCCACAATTTTCCGAATCCAGTCTTCTCAATCTCCAATGCCCCCGCTTCTGGCAAAATCAGATTTATCTTCCAACACATGGCTCAACAATCTCTTCAGTGGATATCTTTCCTGACCTGTAGGAGGACATGCTGACACTACCCTTTATCCCTCTCCTGACCTTATATATGTCTTCAAGTCCATTATGTAGGGGCAAACTTGACCTCAGAGTCTGGAAAATTTTAGGAAGGCGCTGAATGGATTCCCAGGAATCTGCAAATCTTGCAAGTTAAATACAAAGTCTTGTGTCCATTTCAGATGAGTGGTTTCTGGGGAAAATGGCTACCTCTTTCACCAGATTATTAATGGGAACTTTTGGCCAAAATGTTTAAGAACGTTCTGTCCTAAATTGTGAACTCTCTGAAGATAGAAATGATCACACTATTTTTTTTTGTTTGTTTATTTTCCTGTTTGTAACACTGTTCTTAAGGCTTATGAATACTAAATAAATTCAGGCACAAATGAGTGAATGAAACTCATTTAAAAAGAATTCATTGCTCTAGGTAAGAGCTAGTGTTGGAATYAGAACCTACCTCCTGCTTTTATTGGGAAAATAATTTGGCAAGGAAGACAGATGTTAAACAATTAATCATGCAATTACTATTTAATTACAAAGGTTCCAGGAAGACCTGTAAAGGAAAAGTAAA